TTTTGATGTTCATTTTGTGAAACAGATTCTCTCAAATGCTATGGAAATGTTTGTGATAACCAACAAAAAGCACTGGACAGCTGTTTTCGTCCTGCTTGGGACTTGTCAGCAGTGCGTACTTTTTGTGTCCCTGTCAGGACTCGAGCAGTTCGGTCGAGACTTCAAACCCTTACCCCTGAGCTACACGGTCCATGGTTATTACCTTGTGCGAATGGCTCAATCAATTTAGAGTATCAAGCTTGGATTAGCCCATTCGATTGTTCAGAGGCCACAGACCGAAGACCATCAAGAGTGCCTGGTGCCTCTGAACAATCGAATGGGCTAATTCAAGCTTGATACTCTAGATTCTCTCAAACCCCAAAACCACCCAGTGCACAGTGAGTTAATAACTTTTTCATAAATATTATTGTGTCATGATTTGTTTGGCACACAGTCTGTCGTCCGACGCGTGTGAAATATATATATATATCTTTGGTCCCGCGAGTGGCATATTTTCATTTTACCTTCGAAGTCCCGGATTCAATTCCCCAGTTGGATCGATGGATTTGCAGTGTTGATGAGACCCAACTAGATCGAAACGGCTGTCTGTTGATTCCTGACTTCTCAGCTCACTCTTTGCTTGCTTTTTACGCGACGAAATCTACTAACACTATCTTTATTTTATAGAGGTTATGCATGATTCCGTACACCACTCGATCCTTAAACATAAATAATCAAACATTTAGCAGCTGTCTTATGTCTGTTCAGCACCATATGCAACACCGCCCCATGAATAAATACAGACATGACCATGAAAGTGCAGGTATATTTCGTTTGAATTATTTGAGAGACTGCTCGTGAACCAAATTCGATTACCCGAATCATCTTCCAATTGTAATTGACTGAATGTCTTTTTGTACAAACCTAGAAAAACAGCCGGAACGTTTAAAGCTCCCCGTGATCTAATTCCTACAATACAATGCAACCACAGTATCCCACTTGTTCCAATTCCCATCCGTACGCGAACCAAACGGTGAACAATGGACGTGTAACCTACTTTTCTCCTCGGCCGCATTCTGAGATCGGGTATGAACACGTTGTTGCCGACGACGTCGAAGAACCTCGTCCGGATTGGATAAAGTCCGTGTGAAGGTCGAATCCGGGACCACATCCGGATTAGTTCCGGCTCCGTTCACAGGTCCATCACCGTCCCCCGATTTCTTCTTTTTCTTTCGTGATCCAGATGACCATCGACGTGCGAAACCGCGCGTGGAACGACCGTTCTCCGCTTGCGCGTCATTTGTGTGATTCAATCGTTGATTCGAGCGATGCTTGCCAGTTCCGTTCGGCAAAGAGCCAGGTTGATTCTGTGTGAACATGATCCGCACAGTGTGAAAGACGGATGGACGCACAGAAAGGGTGAGAGGGGAGTGAGCAGGAAGGCGGAACAAATCAGTAAGTGTATTTGAAAATAACAATCAACTGCTAGTCATTGGAGCCCATCCAAAATTATGGTGAACACAAGTCCGGGACGATGCCGGAACTGCGCTTATGTTTCGCCTTACTTTTCTTATGATCGTCAAAATACTATAATAAACGGCCGTTGCCATAATCATTATGTAAGTTTAAAGACCCATAGTACATATACATATGAAGATCCAGCCCTATAGTGTTCTTAGTCAGATAATTTTATTCAATGAGCGGATTACATTTCAACAATTTGGCGATCGCCGGAATGTACATGTTATGCATTAATATTTTGGCACGCACGATCCAATCAATGGTATGTTTATATTCTTTTGATGGTAAAACAAGTGGGAAGTTGAG